TGTTTGAATTAGATGTTAAATTCTACATTTATCTACTTTATTATGAATATTTTTTCGTTACATTTTTGTTTAGAGATTATAATTGAATGCATGGGTAGTGGTTTTAACTCCGCGTTTCTAAAGTTTCTCTTTTCATGGTCTATTTTATCTTATTCGTCACTGCAGTTTTAAATCGTGATTTAGTTCAACAGTTATGATCTTTATTCTTATCTACCTTTAATCGACTGAAATCTAATACTAGCTTCTGAAGAAACTACCAAATCCATACTTAATTATGTAACAAAGCATATTGCATAGTTTTTTACTTCGCGTAGGTAGAGTTTACTTTTCCTAGGCTGTTTTAACTTGAATTCTGTTAAAGCGTAATCTTCAAGTTCAGCAGTTGCGATATTTTTGTGTAGTTATATAAAAACTGTTCCTAGTTTCTGAAACAACAAAATCCCCACTTATTTTTCGAATAATAATATACTGATTTCTTTTTTATAAATTTTTTTTTATTCATGTAAAATTATAATTCACTTTTATCAATGTTTAAAAGAGAATATCTTACCATAACTCTTTAGACTTCTGTTATATCCTATACATTTACATTTATTTATTCAATCCTGATGTTAACCCCTAAATCTGTCAATTATTAACAGCAATTTATTCTTGGGTGTATAATCTTTATAATGACTATGAGAATGTAATGGAACTGTGGTATTTTGAATATGTTTATTTTTGTCTCTGGATGTGTTCTTGCCAACTGTTTTCTCAGTGCTAGGGTTTCTTTTTTATTCTTGCAGACATTTTGAAAATGCGTAGTGTTTTGCCTGGAGTTAATGTCTTTCAAGTTGAATTTTGTTAAATATTTTTCTAATTTTTATTTTATTTTTTAGTATTGCCACTGTTAGATTGTTTACAAAACATGGCAATTATTTCAGCAAAAATACCGATATGGAAACCTTCCTTTTTGATTGCACTTTGAAACTTTATAATGTTATTTCAGAAAACTAGGTTTACCATAAACAGGTTTTATTTGCATGCATACTAACAAAGCTGCAAAGTTGTTATTCTTTAAAATTTGAAAAAAATTCAAACTATGAATTTCTATTAAAAAAATACAGAATTATAATCTTAACTTGCAATTGTGAAAAAGATAATGTTTAATCTAAGTTTGCTATTTGCACTTTATCTCAATCATTAATATATATTTCTGAAATAGTTTTGTAGCATATAAAAGAGCAGAAGAATAATTTATCCATGAAAATTGTGGCAAAGCAGTGTGAAATTTATAGCATTGAAATGTTAAATATAAATATGAAATATCTATAGTTCTATTTTTTTGTTTATTATGTGTTGAGAAATTATTTATAAGTATAAAGTTAGAGCCTTCTTTTAGACAATTATTATTTATACTAATTGAGTCAACATTTATAATATGATTTGTTAAGTGGTTGTTTATTTACTATTTGTTAAATGTTTGTAGATTTATTATGTGTTAAATGGTTGTATATCAATTATTTATTAATTGGTATTTTTTCCATTTACTTAACATGTTATTATATTCATTTATGTCCTGCAGTGGACTGATCGTTAAGACACGGTTCCCAGCAGATTACCGAAGTCAAGCATCACTGGCTGTGGTCAGTGTGCGGGTGGGTGACCACTTGGATCAGCCTGCGTAGGGACCGAGGGTGTGCGGTATTGGTCCTCGTTAAACTGTTCTACCGTAAAGTGCTCGACTTCGCGTGCAGGTCGTCGGGCTGCCAAAGCGGGGGTGCCATCCCATCCGCAGAGGATCAAAATTGTGATGGCATGTCTTCGGATCATCCTCAGGGATGTTTCCCAGACCGGCGCCAATAGCCCATTGTGCAGCTCTAGTGCGACGTAAATGAAGAACAACAACAATATATTCATTTATTTTCTTAATTTACAAGGAAAAAATGGATAATATTGAAGAAAAAAAAAGATTTACTAAATAGAGTAGAACCTCAATTTAACGATACTTGTGAGACTGAACAAAAGCGTCCGAAGTAACGGGATGCTGCTGTATCAGAGACATGAAGAAACTCACAAAAACTAAGATTTAAATGCTCTTAAATTTAATTATCTTTTGTTAAATATCTAAATAGAATCTGAAACTTAATTGTAATTTCTGTAATGAATAATGAAAATGTAATTATTTGAATGAAAAATATTCAACTTCTTATCCGTTTACTTTCTTGTTAGTTTACTTTTTTTTTCGTTCTAAAGTATAAAAAGAGTGTTGCGATAGTTCCTAAACATTCATTTCTCTCTCTTCTATTCTTCATGACCTTTGAAGAAAATTTTTAATCTCCGCAATGTAGTTCTATTAAATGATTGTGTTAGATTTTAGGCTTCACTGTCTTTAACATTTTTCGATTCCATAATTTCAGCTTTTTAGATCTCCTCTGATTCACAAGTAATCAAATCATCATATTGTTAATATCTCTAGAAAGTCTGTATCAGACTCTGCATTCTTCTCAAAAGCTGTCAGTGTTCTCTTGCAGAGAAAGGGGGGGGGGGTTGATTTAAAATGACCTTTTCTAAAATGTGTCCTTTTTTTGAACTGTTGGTATCTAAGGAAAATATTTTGAAGATTCTCTAAATAGCAGAGATTTTTTCACATTATTGATATAGGAAAGTGGACTAAACTGAAAAGACGTTAATTGTAGAAAAATATTATTAATGAGAGACGCTTAATCAGAGTTTTACCGAATCTCATAACTAAATCCTGAAACAAATGTGTGATTATTGTATATATATATACAATAATTGACAGTTTGCCAGTACAAGTGAAGTATAATGTGCTGATAGTATTGTATTAATTGTTGAAATTTTGTTGTCAAAAAGTTAATTAGAGTTGAATACTTAAGTGATAAGATTTTGAAAAATTTATTTTGTAGGTAGTGCTTATCTTCAAGTAATTGTATAAATGTATGATTTGTCTTAATAGCATGATTTGCGAGGCTATTTTTCTAAGTTAAATTTTGAAAGTGGAATACTTTTAAAGTACAGTACAGAACCCGTTATCCGGAAATCAGAAAACCGGAAAACCAAAAAACCGGAACGAAATTCGATAAATTTTCTCGCCATTTAAAAAAAAAAATTATTTTTTTCCTCATAAGATTTTACGATTTTTCTTTCTTTTTTTAACGATGTTTACCTTACCATCATTTTGGAAATAATCATTAGTGTATTACTTCATCGTTTTTTCTTATTTTTAAGATTATTTCCAATATATTTTTTTTAGTTGGATGTAACAATAAAAAAAACTGCTCAGGGGTTGCATTCCCCCTAAAATTCATAAAATTCCTAAAACTATGTGCAAACCCTAAAATTCCTAAAAATCTGATAAAATTTTGTTGGTGTTCCTAAAAAATTAGAGTTATAGGCTAAATATATAAAAAAAAAGCAATAATCTGAAATATAAGAATTTAACTACATTAATTAAAACTGTTTTAATTTTGCCACATGGGAATTCTGATCCTGAGAGAGGTTTTTCGATAAATAAAGCAATGCTTAATGTGAGTCACCATGAGAATACTATTATGTCTCTTAGACTAATCAAAGATACCATTCGAAATTATGGAGGAGTGTTGAAGATCACCACAACACTATTGAGGGCAGTAAAAGAATCTCACAAATCATATCAAGAATATATTAGAAAAATGATCATGATTAATTTGTTTTTCTCTAACTTCTAATATAAATTGCTGATTTGAAATCTAATAATATCACACAATAGTTTTTCTTAATAAAGTAAGGTAAAGGGTAATAATAAAGTTTTGATTAAGAAGGTAAAAATTAAATAAAAATCCAAGTTGGTGTTAATTTATTTTTTCTCTTGATTTATTCTCACTTTTGCCTGTTCCTGAATTATGCACTTAATTTCTGATAGGTAATATGTAAAGTTGAAATTTCATTTTTACACTTTAAAGATTTCATTCTTGACTTAATAAATTTCAGAGCTTTATTTTATGGCTTGCTATTAATTATTTATGATACGTGTGGATGAATTGTAATAATTTTCTGTTATGTAATAAACTACCGTGCGATCTGTTTTTATCCTAGCAAAATCATATATTACTCCTAAAATTACCTAAAATTATTTGAAAAAAGCTCCTAAAATTACCCTAGAATTTTTAAAAACTTTGCTGCTACCCCTGAACTGCTTTTTGTAGCGATTCAGAAAACCGGAAAAATCAGTTATCCGGAATAGCGATGGTCCCGACTGTTCCGGATAATCGGTTCCCTACTGTAGAATGTAGTTGAACCAATATAACATTAATATCAGTATCTATTAAATGTTAATAGTTGTTTTGTTCTACTTAATAAAAATTATTAACTTATGTTATGTAGACATTTTATAATATAATATTAAATATTTCATAACTTAGTCAAATATTTGTGTCAAACAAAATCATAATGCTTATACATAGTAACTCTGTAAATTTTACTTTTAAACAAATTCTAGTCTAGTTTTGCCTTCATCTTTTAAAATTACTACTTTGCAGTCATTTTAACTGTCAAAATGTTAAATATAATTGAATTTGGTAATTTATATATTAATCATTCTTAATTAATTTTTTACTTTTTATAGGTGCTTATATAAATTATTAAAAATTCATATTTTTAAGTATGTATCATCACTATTTTTTTTACTAACTTAATACATGTGATGTTTTTTTCATTGAAAGAGATTTATTCTTTGTAGAAATTATTATTTTTTTCAGTGTAATGTTATGTTTTTCATCCTCCTAAAATTATGGATTTTCTTTTGTCTAGGCTCTAGTATAACAATTTTAGTAAAGGCTATGCTCAGTTCCAAAGTTTTCCTGCTCATAAGTTTTCAACTTCTTGCTAGTTTGGTATGAGACTTCTTTTGTAAAGCATCTTAATACATTATTTATACTTTTTTCTTTTATGTGTTTTACCTTTATTGTATGTTTTTATTACATTATAGAAACATTTAGATAATTTTTAAATACTAAAGAGAAACATTCCTTTTTCAGCAATAGTTCTGGAGAGTGGTGTAATTTTAATGCTATTGCATAGTATCAGGGGTCGCATTCCCCCTAAAATTCATAAAATTCCTAAAACTTTGTACAAACCCTAAAATTCCAAAAAATCTGCTAAAATTTTGTTGGCGTTCCTAAAAAATTTGAGTTATAGGAATAAATCACAGAGAAAACGAAAATGCCGCGCCTCTTTCTTTTTGTACCGAATTTGTTTACGTCATCGCTTCTCTGCAAGGAGAGGAGGGTGAGAGGAGACGCGGGACGGCGGTTGGGGAAGAAAGACGACGACCTTCGGTGTGACGACATTCAGGCGAGTGATTGGTTTTTTTTATCACGTGGTTATTTTCACTCCTAAGACGTCACGGGCCTCTCCTCTCCCCCCTCTCCACCTGTCTCTCTTTTTGTTCAGCGTGGTTCTGAAATCTTTCGCCATCTTGGTTGATTTGTTATTTATAAATTGATGCTATGGGAAAAGGACGAACAAAATTCCAGACGGATTGGTTTGAAAAAGAACTAGATGGTGTTTTGCTTAAAGAATGGTTGGAATCTGTGACTGGAAATGACTATTCCGCGAAATGTAGTTTATGCTGTGAAACATTCGAAGTATCTGGAAGTGGATTCGCACAAGTACGATCGCATCATAAAGGGAAAAAACATCATCGGAAATTTGATGAAAGATTTAAAGGAAATGGTCAATCAACAATATTCAATTGGGTGCAAAATAAAAGCAGTGATACAGCTGTTCTTAGCCAGCAAAGTCAAATTTTGAAAGCTGAAACTTTATGGTGTTTACATGTGGCTAAAAAAAATATTTCTTTTAAATCTTGTACGGATACAGTGGATTTATTTAAGGTAATGTTTCCAGATTCTCCCATAGCGTCGGCAATGCAACTTAAAGAGAAAAAAACTGCCTATGTTTTAAACCATGGTGTATCTAAATATTTTGAAGATCTTTTAATGAAGGATATTGACAGTGCAACAAAAATAACATTAGCATTTGATGAGAGTACAAATGTACAGAACAAGCGGCAACTAGATGTATATGCCAGATATTGGTCTGCCGACTTTAATTTGGTAGTATGTCGATATTTAAAAAGTGTATTTTTAGGCCATGCTACGGCAGGTATTATTTTACATGAAGTTTTGGATGTTTTGTCTACTTATAAGATTCCATTGAATAAAGTAATATGTCTTTCAATGGACAATCCTAATGTCAACAAAAGTGTCATGAGGAAATTTTCGGATCAAATTGGTTCGAATACGTTATTGCCAATTGGCACCTGCAATTTGCATGTGGCAAATAATGGTTTTAAAGTTTTTCTGAATTCTTTAGATGTCAACTTTGATGAGTTCGCCAATGATATATATTTTTTTCTTAAGAACAGTGCTGTACGCAGGGAGGACTTTAATCACATGGAAGAAATAACGGAAGGGACGGCTCAGTTTTTATTGAGACATGTAAACAGTAGATGGCTTACAGCCGGCCCTGTAGCTCAGAGGCTAGTTGAGCAATGGGCAAATATCTCTGAATATTTTTTGTGTTTTTTACCTAAGCAAAAATTGCTCACTAAGCAACTAAGTTCTTCGAGCAAATATAAACGTATTTGTGATAATTTAAAAGAGCCATCAATCTTGTGCTTTCTAGCTTTTATTGCTTATACCCATAAGCACTTTGAAACCTTTTCGTTGTGTTTTCAAAGCGAATCCCCAAAAATACACTTGCTGTTTAGTGAAATGAATAAGCTAATCAGACAAGTTATGATGCTGTTCATTAAAGATGATATTGTTGCAGCTAAGGAAGGCACAGATTTAAGGGACATTGAACTTGAAAATGGTAAAAATTGGAAGAAATCGTCTTCGATCGAGATAGGCATGTCAGCAAAAGGTTTTTTAAGTAAATTAGCACAAAGTGAAAAGAATAATTTTCTTCTAAATGCTCGTTCTGCATTGATTAAAACTGTTAATTATTTAAAATCAAATTTACCCTTTTTTGACCAGTTTTTAAAGACGTCTCATAAAAGAAGGAACAGAAAGATTGAAGAAAGCTGCAGGAATGCAAAACATTGTGGAGATGACTGTTGCACAAAACTTGATATCTGAAGGAACTGATCAGCTAACAAAATTAGAGTCGGAGTTGACTGTTTTTGAAACTGGAAGAGACCAACTTTTGTCAAAGAGACTCAAAATTAAATGATCATCCTAATTAGTGTTTCTCTAACTTCTAATATAAATTGCTGATTTGAAATCTAATAACATCAAGCAATATTTTTTTTTAATAAAGTAAAGGATAATAAATTAAAGTTTTGATTAAGAACGTAAACATTAAAGCTTGTCTTTATAAAATAAAAAAGTATTCTTTTTTCGAGAGAAAGGCTCTTTTTTTTTTTTAATTATTATAGAATCAATAGAACTTTAATTTATAAAGGTATGCAGATTATTTGTTCTGATTTTTTGAACTATTTTTTTTATACTTTTATTGTTTGTATAAACATCACAGAGGATGAGAAAGTGAATTGTTTACCGTATATGTAACTTTAGTTGGCAATATTTTTGTCATGATTTCTTTCAATTTTATTTGACATTAAATTTATTTTTTTATAAATGATTTTGGAAACTTTTCTGAGTACTTTAATTGTACTTATAAATATCAGAAATATGAGAATTTGAATTGTTTAAAGTATATACAATTGAAGACAGTATTTTTGTTAATATTTAAGTTGATACAGCTTTTATCTGGCATATTTTTACTTCATAAGTGATTAAATCATTTTCTGTGTACTTAATCTAATCTTATAAGGATAGGAAAGAAATGAAATTGTGAATTTTTTTAACATATATAAATATATCGCTTATAATAATTTTAAGTTCCTATTGTTTTAGTCAAATTTTCCTTAATTTTTTATTTGACCTTGCATTTTAGTTTACAAATTGTTTTGGATTTAATAGAGTATTTTTAATTTTTCCAAGTTGGTGTTAATTTATTTTTTCTCTTGATTTATTCTCATTTTTGCCTGTTCCTGAATTATGCACTTAATTTTTGATAGGTAATATGTAAAGTTGAAACTTCATTTTTACACTTGAGAGATTTCATCCTTGACTTAATAAATTTCAGAAATTTATTTTATGGCTTGCAATTATTTATGATTTGTATAGATGAATAAGACTAATCTTCTGTTATGTAATAAACTACGGTGTGACCTGTTTTTATCCTAGCATATTACCCCTAAAATTTTTTGAAAAAGTTCCTAAAATTACCCTAAAATTTTAAAAAACTTTGCTGCTACCCCTGTAGTATATTAATATTTATATTTTTTGTTTTGATATAAGTCTTGGATATTAATAATGTGTAGAACCAGGGTTGCCACAGACTACTAAAGTGTGATTATTTGCTACTATTTTCGGCTGTGACTTTTAGTGACTTTTTTTGCCTGATAAGGCTAAAAAAGCAACTATTTTCAGGAATAGGCGACTATTGGGAGACTTTTTTACTCTTGGCAAAGTTTTTTCGCAAAAACGAAAGTTACTTTTCAATCCCCTTACTAACGTGTACTTATTGCTGCCTACCATGTGCGTAGTGCAGTTAAAACAAAATTTTTTTTAAAGAATTAAATGAAGAGTTTAGTAATGTTTTGACGCTTTTTAATAATTTAACATTAGTACTTAAAGTATTTTTTTAAAAATTTTTTATTAAAATTCTTTCAATACTTGTTTGTTTTATAATTTTTTAGATAGTCAGTATCATTTTTAAACAATTAAATCTTTAGTCGATTTTATTTTCAAAAAAGAAAATAATACAGAAAAATATTTTTACATTTATTAAGTACAGAAATTGACCATTAGTCAATACTATTTTTTATTATTTTAGGTAATTAAATAAAAGAAGGTCTAATGATGTTTCAAAAGCATGATTTTTTTTTCCACAAATAATTAAAAAAAATTTTTTTTTTTTTCTAGAATGTAAATTTTTTGGGTTTGTTTTCTACTTTTTTTTTTCTTTTAATTTTTAATGCATGCTTGTAAAATATTTTGTTATAGCGTTATTTTTAAGCCAATAAACCATTAATCATTTTTAATTTAAGAATAATGAAATAAAACTTTGGGTTTGCTTTTACTTTGACTTCTTTATTATTTTAATCGAAAATATTAAGCAATGATATTGATGTCATAGTAGAATATGTTTAGAATTAGTATTTTCTTTCATAATAGATTTATTTCTTTTTATTTATTTTTGATTGATTTAAAGATTTGCCATAGGTAATTTTTGAACATGTGCTAAATTGCGCTATATCGCGATGTATCACGATTTAAAATTTCTGACATCACCCGCTCCTAATCATAGTATATAACAAATGAGCTATAATTTTAGTTATTTGGCTACTATTTTTGATAAATTTTTGTCCCTGTTCAGGCAACTATTTTCATAGTTTTAGGCAACTATTTTCCTTCTTGAGGCTACTAAAAGCAACTATTTTTGTTGTTCTTTTGCTGTGGCAACCCTGTAGAACTGACCAACTTATTTTGTGTTAATTGGCAACTGCAGTAACTGTTAATTGTATTTATAATAATGATAGTTTATAATGAGTTGAAAAGATTTAAAAGTCTTAAAATTTTTTGCTGTAATAAATAATTGTCAAGGGTTTTATTTAGAAAATGTATGCATCTGTTTTTTGATGTATTGTTAAACCTTGAAAATAAGATACATTTGCGTCATGTGTCATGTCTATGGTCAAGTGTTCAAATCTATTAGTGATAACAAAAATAAAACTCATTTTATAAATCATTTTTCTCTAATAAAATATTTTTTTTTTTTAACTACAGTAACCGTACCAGGAGACAAGGAGATAAATCTGAATTTTCTATAAAAAAAAATGGAAATAATTTGGACTTAAATTGAAAAACAGGAAATTACTATCTTACCAAAATTAAATAACCATACTATTTACTATTAACAGGATAATATAAAAGTATTTCAACCCGTTTGGTGCAATTATTCAAGATCATGTGTTGTAATGGAAATATTTGATGACTGAAAAATAAGTTGACGCATTTACCATTAGTTTAGAATGATGTTGATTGACGCATTTTCAAGTATTCATTTCATTCCAGAGTGATACAGGCTGGCAATGATATACTAAACATCATAAACTGCTTAAATGAAGCATCAAATTATGATAAATAATAAAAAAGGTTTTATATAGAGCTCCAAAGTAAGAAAAGATTCTCCCTTTGTAACATGCATTAATTTATTACATAAATTCTTTTTAAAAAGAACCTGGAGGCTGCTGAGTTAAGCCCCACACGATACCTCCGTCCACCCACTGTCATTGTTTGTGTATGTTAGCATATTTTTCGTCAAGGAAATTTGAGAAATCAATGTATGGGCTTTTAATTGATTTTAGTTATTGCCAAGGCTCTTTTTCTTAGCCTTACGCATTCAAATTTGTTGGCAGAAAGTAAAGTGTGGGAAATAATAAAGAATTTTAAACATTAGCAACCATATAAAGATTTTAAAATTTTATGCTAATGTGTTAGGCAGATGTAAAGGGGATTTCTGAAAATATAATTTATTCTATGCACGATCCAAGATATTGGTATAAAAGAGTGTATATTATATTAAAAAAATTTTTTAGTTAGAAAAGGATTAAATAAGATATTAATTTAGTTTATAAATATTTTAGGAAATATGTTATGCATATTTCAGCACTACATATCCTTTTTTAAAAAAAGTGGTAACTTAATTATTTCAATTTTAGAATTTCTTAAAAAAATTAAGGCTTTTGATTCCACCGCAATGTATTGTTAATATAAAATATTCATAGTAATTGAAAATATTCAAGTATCAGGGGTCTGTTTAGAAGAAATTTGGGTCCGTTAACGAACCTTTCACAAAATATTTTAACTTAAAAACGGACCCTTCACAAAATTATTTTTCTTTTAATCGGACCCTTCACAAATTTGTTTATCTTCATTATTATTTTGTTAATCGAATAAACCCTTTCCAGGGCAGAAAACAAGAAAGATGGATATAAACGAATTAAGTTTTGTCTTCGGCAGACGATACTTCTATTATTCGTCCAAAATTAATATTCTGCGTTCAGCAGTATAGGCTAAATACCAAATATTTGTATGTTGCATCTCTAATTTAAAAGCAGCAATTGTTGTTAATTTTTTAAAATTTAATTTTTTTAATTATAATTTTACAGTGTTGAGCATAATCTTGTATGTCTTTACAATTTAAAAACTCCTGAAAATGTTTTTTGCAATAACGGACCCTATTTGCAAAAATTAATAAAAGCGGACCCTGGTTGAAAGAAAGTGATTAATTTTTTCACAATTTCACGAAAAACGGACCTTTTACAAAATGTCTGGACAGACCCCTGAGAATAATATTTGGCAGTAGCTAATAACAGATAGTACCCATTTTCATTACACAAATGCTTATTACTTTATTATAAATGCGAGTTTTTTCCTTTTTTCAATATGTTACATTTACTTTTTGATAGAGAACAAGTTAAAATCCTCTTAAAATGCATAAAAAATAAAAATAGTCAAATGCATTTATTGTTAGTTCCTTCATTTGCAATCCTCTTTTAAGATTTTTTTTGGTACGATTAAAAATGAATCTAAGTTCTTTCCTAATTTATTTATGTTTAGTAACTCTTCATTTCAAGTCAACTTTTTAAACCTCCAAAATGTTACGGAAATCTGGGGGCCTTTTTATAAACTGGTATTAAAGTCCGGCATTCATTGATCAGGAAATGTTGAGGCATTATAAACATTGAAGTAGAGATGAATAACTCTGTATATATTAACCCCCTTTCAAAAATTATCTTTAAATTATGTTCAGTAAAAAAGATAATGTAATTTATTCAAGACTGTTTCAAAAATTTATAATTCAGTATATTTCCGAGTATTTCATAAACATTTTTCAGCGGTACAGGCAAAAACCATCCGACGTACCGGAAATTTTCTCTTTTGTAATCAGAAAGATGGAGTAACTTATACAATGTGTCAAAATTTCAAGTAAAAATATTTAATGATAAATTATAAATTCATGAAATGAAGCGTTAATTCCCCCCCCCCTTCTTAAAACTGGAGTAAATAAATACAACCTGCATTGTGCGTGTATATTTTAATTTTGATTGTTTACTCAGTGTTTGTTTTTTATTTTGTTACTTAATAAAGAAAAGTTTA